TGAAACGGCACATTAATCATTGTAACTTGTTAATCTTGTAAATAAATTAATAACTTTGTTGTAAATTAAATGTTGCAAGATGTTAACTTCATTTCTTTAAATGTTGAGAGTTAATGTTTTGGTTGAATCATTCATCTTTTAGGCCTTATAAATAGAGGCTTTGGATGAGTTTAAGGATACACAAGAAAAGAAGAAAAACAAAAAGATCATCTCTTCCCTATTTTTTTTAAGTGTTTTGGTCCATACATAGTTCCAATTCGTCGAATTTGTTTCGATTTTTCCGTTGTATCCTGAAAAACAGACACTTATACGGAGCGAATTTGTTTTAAGAACATTGTGTTCTTACAGGCTTCGGTATTATATATTTTAGCTGTTTTCTTTTTCCCGTTAAAAGTTCCATACAATGTGTAGGGTGAATTTATCTACCATTAATTCCTGAAGGTTAATTCACATCTGTAAAAGTTTCTACATTGCCGGTGGATATGTATGTACGTACTATAGAATAAAGCACCCCACCAATTAATGTTTGACAAATGAGTGTAGATTTTTTTTTTCGCGAATAGTACTCATCAAATGTACTATGGAAGTTTATCTCCACGTATTTTTAAGAGCGAGAAGATGACTTAAGTAGTCTCGGCCTTGTCTATAATTATTGTACCAAATGTTGGCTCTTCATCCCTACATATATATATATATATATATGCTCCATACTTTCTGCTCTCTATAAAAACAGCCCTAACTCAAATTCAAATCCCCAAAACACTTGCATATGAATATTCAATTATAACAAATATATAACAACACACACACACACACACATATATATAGTAACAAAACCCATGAGGCTCCCTATCTCTAAACCCGTATGGACATGTACCAAACCACATTGCCACACAATCACCAACCCCAAAACCAAAAACACCCTCACCACTAAAGTATTCCAAATTCCGAAAAGAACCCTAACAAACCTTCCGATCGACAAAAAAATGAGCCCTTCTTTTCTCGACCAACCATCTCACGACCACCCAACCCCAATCATCAACAAGCGGTGGATGGACTACCAAGGTTCCAAAAATTGGGAAGGCATGCTCGACCCCCTCGACGACAACCTACGATCCGAGATCATACGTTACGGCCATTTTGTCGAGGCCGCCTATAGATCCTGCGACTTCGACCCCTCCTCCCCCACATACGCCATGTGTCGCTTTCCCAAGCGGAAGCTTCTCGACGGGTCGGGTTTTCCCTGCACGGGCTACCGGGTCACCAAGAACCTGGTTGCCACGTCGGGTATAGAGCTTCCAGACTGGGCCGAACGAGGCCCAGTCTGGATGGTTCGCAAATCCGCCTGGATTGGGTACGTGGCCGTGTGTCACAACCCGAGGGAAATCTCGAGGCTCGGCAGACGGGACGTGGTCGTGGCTTTTCGAGGCACGGCCACGGGTCTCGAGTGGGTCGAAAATCTCCGAGCAACCCTGTCACCTCTAGATTTCAACCCCCAAAACCAATCGGGATCAGTACCCGAGGCGACGGTGGAGAGCGGGTTCTTGAGTTTGTACACGTCGAGATCGGAAAAAAACCGGTTGAGTTTGCAAGAACTCGTGAGGCAAGAAATATCTCGAGTTATCCAAGTCTACGGTGAGGAGCCGTTGAGCTTCACGATTACCGGACACTCGCTAGGGGCGGCCCTCGCCACGCTGGTGGCCTACGACATCAAGGAGATGTTTGGAAAGTCGCGTATGGTGACCGTGGTATCGTTCGCGGGGCCACGTGTAGGGAACCGGAGCTTCCGGTGCCAGCTGGACAGGCAGGGGACAAAAATCCTACGGATTGTGAACAATGATGACGTGGTGACGAAGGTGCCGGGATTTGTGGTCGGAAATGAGGAGAAGAACGGCGAGGGGTGGGTTCAGAAGCTGGTGGAGGACACGCAATGGGTGTATGCTGACGTGGGATGCGAGCTGAGGCTCAGTAGCCGGGACTCACCATACCTCAACGGTAGGGATCTGGCCACGTGTCACGATCTCAAGACGTATCTGCATCTGGTGGACGGGTTTGTGGGATCCAACTGCCCTTTCAGGGCCACGGCCAAGAAAATGATGATGAGCGGATCAAGTAATTAATAGTAGGGGTAGGTTTAATCTACTAATTAATTAATTAGCACCATAAATTAGTAGACGATAGTTCGTCTACTAATTTGAAATTATGATTATGGTTAATGGAATGAAGACGAGAAGACCCTTTTTAGATTTTTCAATTTTTTTTTTTTTTTTTTTTGGCTGAATGAAGTCCATTTGAAGCGTTTAGCGCAAAATCTTAATTAATTTTGTCCCCGATTAAATTATAGCTACCAATAATGGACAGAAACATAAATTAAAGATATTAGTAATTTTTTTAATATATGTGATAGATAATCAGTGTGACATTCTTGTATTTATATAAAGTGAGAATTAGTACCGTTAAAACTACAAGCTCATTTTGTGGTTAAAAATATTACTATTAATTAATTGGAAATGCATTAGTCATTTTTTTTTTTTATTTCAACAATGATTTTAACACATTTGATTTTTTTTTCCCTGAAATATTTGCCTGGATTTAATTGAAAAAAAAAAAAAAAAAGTAAAATTGAGCAGCAAAAAACACCTGTAGACTGTGGTGCTCTGATAAAGAAAGATTCCAAAATTTTATGTCCTTTGGACGGTACTTGAAAAAGCTGTATTTTGTTTTATTTGGCAAATAGGTTGTCCGACCTGACCGGCCACCGACCGGGTTCAAGAGGACTATTACCTAATTGGGCCGCCGTCCATACCCAAATTTATCTCTTGGTTTGACATTGAGACGCATATAGTCGCAAACATCATGCGCACGTTCTTATCAAACGCATTAACTCGTCGCATATATCTTAAAGAGCCACGAATGATAGCATAACAAAGTCCAAAAGCGCATCTACACATGGTCAAGCGTCCACCCGGTGTGAAACCGGCCCGAATTTATCGAGTTTTGAACCGGACCCTTAGCTTTTAAGGGCCGATCCCGGGTCTTCATTTTGCTTTTTTTACTCGCCGGTTTCGGGTCGATTCTGGTCGGAAAGCGGGTCATAATTGATTTTATTTTATTATTTTTCAAATAAAAAATCGACGGTTCAGTGACATTTTGGGTCGTGCCGATTCAAATGAATCAGCCCGAATATAGTCGGGCCGGTTTCGGGCCAGCATTTGAGGCCCGCCAATCTGGCAGGCCGGGCCGGGTCGTGAACCGTCCTGGCGTTTGGACACGTCTAAGCGCATCATTATTCTGAACAATAAATAGGATGTGAAATATATCTGTTCAAAATAATGTTTTTTTGTTAATCATAATTTATTTGAAAAAATGTGATATGATTAGTTGTTAGTGAGAATTTGAATTTATATTAAAATAATATTTTAAAAACAAAATAATTAAAGTTGGTTTAATGTAAAAATAAAATGTAGATGATGCGAAATGATGATTAATTAAAATTATGTGAGTGAATTAATAATGAAATAGAGTTGATGTGACGTGTCAAAATAATAGATTGATATTATTTAAATCAATATTAATAATAATGAGATAGTGAAGTTTTGAACTAAAAAAATTGGACTTAATTTTTTTTTTTAAGTATGAATTGATAAGCATAAATTGAGATTATTTGTATACAACACACCCCAACATTAATATTAGCAGTAGTTGTTTTGGACGTCTGTTGACGGCGGACTCGAGTTAATAAATCTATCATTTGATATATTATAAGATTAACGTATATATTTTTTCCTCTCTCTAATCTGTAGTACATTATAATGAATATGGAAGAATAAAAAACTCAATGACAAATTAATGGGAGTAGCGGTCGGTGGTCAGAAATTTACAAGTCTAAAAGCACACACACACACACACAAATCCCCACTAATATCCAATGTGACCAAAGTACTCTTCCTTTAATCCTTTTAGTAAAAAAAAAATAATAATAATAATAATAATAAATATGCAGTTGGTAGTCAACATTTGGTTAATGCTTTAAAATTTAGCCAAGTAAATACTAAATCATCGTAATTAAATATTATTGAATTTGTTTTGCAAATGTGTGTATTGGGTCTCACGTTCACTATAAAATCAATACCATTTCCGAATGAAAAATCCAACAATAATATATTATAATAAAACTTTCAATGAATATTCTAATGATATAGTTTTCGTTGAAATATTCTAAAAGAGATAGACATTAAAATATTTAGATTTTCTTGAAATTTAGTTGGAATTTAATGATTCTAATTGTCATTTTTATTGATTTATTAATGTATGAATTTATGTTTGAAATATGCATTTTTTGTTGGATTCTTTTTTTTTTTTTTTTTNTTTTTTGAAAAAAAAAAAACTATCACGGGAGTATCAATGTTGATATATCTGATGGAATTGCTGCTGAATTTTGTCAGAATAAATTTTCGGAAGAATTTTTTCTAATGTATATTATCATTTACTTGCATGACGAGTCCCACAAGTGTATGTATGCATGTGCATGATCCAACGGTTCAAATTAACAATGGTGTGGACAATAAGATCGAACCTTCCTCGTGAGATATGTCTCTCATGAGACACACCGTTAAAAGTGCCCCCTTGAGAACATGCATGCTGGAAATTGCACCTCAAATCAAAGTAAAAGGAAAGAAGAAGAATAAGAAGATGAAACTAAAGAAATCGAAATCACGAGAGAGAAAAGTTGGACTTTTTTGGGGATTATTTCTAATTAAATATATGGTCAAAAGTGTTGCTAGTTATAAATGACATAGACAGAGAATAATATTATACCAACAATATAAAACTGTACAACTCGTACGTGTGAACCATATGATCATGCCAATAACTCGTGAATCATATGATCTCAATTTATGTATGATATTGAGTATACTTAGTTTCATGTGCTACTAATTAAAAACAGAAATAAGAAAATTAAAAAAAGAAATTAAGGAAAACAATTCATATTTTGCTACCATTTATCAATGTGAAATGAAATTGAAGTAGTAGTGAAAGGTCATGCATGTGAATTATATTAATTTCAACTTAATTTTCAAAATTACTCATGATATATAAAATTTATCTAGGCCAATAGTAGTTGATTTGTTCCAATAAAGGAAAAATTAGTCTAAATTGGTCTTCTATCAAGGGCACCTTCAGCGAAAGGTGATACAAGTTTTCATGTGATAATAAATTAGGTCCAACATTCATACTAAAATAAATACAGTATATTTGAAGAGATCTCGCCGCAAATTAGGTACAATTTTTATACTAAAAGTTAATTAGTTACAACATTTATCCTAAAAATTAATATTCCAAAAGCTAGCACATAAGCAGTGGTACCTAGCAAGAGCCTATTGGACTTGTGTTAACCTAAACCCAAAGCACTAGTCTAATCCAGTCTTGTTAATTTATGGCCCATTTAAT